GGTCCCTGCTGCACAACCCATTATTAAACTCCCAACATGTTGATATAGCCACCTTTTGCACTTTGGAGGGGGGTTTACCTGACTTCTCCCCAAAAGAACTTTTTTGGAAGTTTGGGGCCACTACTTCAGACCAAAGATCATTATCCTTGATGTCCCAACGGGCCGTGGGTTCTTCAGCAGCCCTCTCACAGAACAGCTCATCGTAAGCCAAAGCTGCTGAGTCCCCTGCCATTTTTTTGGCTTTTAAGATAATGCCCAGATAGTTAGCCAAGTGCCAAGCCCTATCTGGGTAAGCAGCGGCCACCAAACCCATGTAAGAGGCGAGAGCAGCTAGCCAATTGTCAAAAGTTCTATCAATATCCACTGCCTTCTCCTTCTTGCGACGCGATTCAGGCTTAAACTTGGAACTACAAGAATAAGCTGGGGAGAGCAGGGCAAACAAGTCCACAAATCCATTTAGAATGCGGTTGGGTATATTCTTTTTAAGCCGGATGCCAGGAGGCTGATCGGTGGTCTTGAAGTTTGACGCCCGCACCCTCCCTTTTGCATCAAGCCCATCCTCCCCACATGGTTCCTTGGCCCCAAAGGCACGTCGATGGCGCCGGGTGCGACGTTCCCAAATCCAACTAGGCAGGCCAGGGGCCTTGTGGGTAGTAACCCAGTACCCTTTGCACCGTTCTTCCGACTCGCCACAGGAGGAATCACACATACCTGAAAGATCTGAAGAATCCGAAGAGTCCCTCCTGCACTTACGCCCATGCTTCCTTGATCTGCAAGACCTCTTCTTCCTGCGACCTGTTCTGCGCGAATCAGGGCTGGAGGAGCTGTCTGATGGACTCGAAACCGGTGACCTATGCCTACGCCTACCCTCGCGGGAGCGTCGACGAGGGGACTTAGACTTATCTAAGCACTCCTTAGCCCTAGCCAGGCAACACTGCAGGATGCGGTTCTGACGCAGCAATTCCTGCACATCGTCGTCACTGGACTGGGAAGAATCGCTCTCAGCAGTGAGCTCCTGTGTGTATGCCCGCTTTTTCTTCTTAGGAAGGGCTCTGTAGGGCCTGGCATCAAAGGTGGAGGGGCCACCATCCCTCACTTTTTTCTTAGAGATAATTAACTTCATAGGTGGGACCTTCCGGCTGGAAGACAAGGCCCTTTTTTAATCCTGTTGGCTGCCTTTACTGCATTGCTGGGGGTACCCCTCGATGCGGCTCTTGGGGTGCCCATCCCGACGGCACCAAGAGAGTGCGAGGGGGAGCCTTCTCTTTGATCAGCAGCCACGGCTAGAGACATAATGCACCTTGAAGCAAGTCAACCACTACTAAGACCTACAAATACCTAAGTATGATGGCAGTTTGTTGTATTTGTTTTTGTTTGTTTGTTCCCAGAAGGAAGAACAGCAAAAGAGGCTTGAGCTCAGGGGTCAGCCTCTTTTCTTTTGGCCTTAGGCCCACCCCTGGCCGGCCGTCCATTGTCCTCCCTGGCCAAGGGCGGGTCAAAGGCCAGCTCAAGCAGGTGGGTGGCACCCGCCCAGGTGAGCCTCGCTTGGTGCCGCAAACCCCGCCCACCTGTGGGGAAGGGAGGGCAGGTTACTTGATGGGATTCCCTGGGGAGCCTGGCCAGTCTTTTGTAATGATAAATACTTAGTTCCTGGGCCAGGTCACAGGCTCACACCCTATTAAAACACAGACATACCCTTAAGACAGGATTTGTGAAGGAAAAGACGATGGGGAGGCTTTTCCATTTTGACCTTGCAGTAAAAACATTTGCTCAGTTTAGGAATCGAAATGGTTCCAAGTTGGCCCTCCTGTGCAGATCTATGTATGTGCTTGCTTGGTACACTTATGAACATTACCATATATCTAAGACCATAAAATTCCTATCACAGGGGGCAGTCAGAGGGGGAGGGGGGAGGGGGAGGTGGGCCAGGCTGCTCTGTCGCCTTCACACGTGTCCTTTGGGGTGCCCTTTGCTTAGCACTGTTACGGAAATTATGGGGGGGGCACATCTTTAAAGTTGTTAAAATGTTACAAATATCACGCATAAATGTATCCTTTCGACTTGACAGCTCAGGGAAGTTACCTAGCTTTAAAAATCATATAAAATCATCTCCTTTCCCTGTTTCCTCCACCTCAACACTATTTTGCCCTTGGAAAAAGGACTCTTTTCTCTGCCACCTCCCAAAGCGTGAAGACATGTAGACACACCTCCCACCCCAGGAAGTGCCCAGAGGTGACAATTGCTGGGCTCATTGTTGGCCAAGGAAAGCCTAATTCCATCACCAAACTTGCCAAGGGGTCCAGACATGCAAAGGTAGTTCTATTGTGCTTTGGGTGCTGGGACTTCAGAGGTCTTTGCCTATGCTCATCTTATACCTGAGTCTTGCCCTGCCATGTCTGCTTATGCTAATCTTGTACCAAGGACTTGTCTGGACATCTTTGCCAAGGCTAACCCCTCCCCTTTGGTGACATGTCAGTGATGGAGCAATGAAGCTGTATGAACTGTATTCCGGAATATGGTGGGAAAGTTTTAAAAGTCCTTGTCGCCCCATCCTCGGGGTTCAAAATTCCTCTTGGAACCTGTTGCGCAATAAACTTTGGTCTATAGCTTTTTCCTCCGGTTGGGGGCTGGACTCCTCCTTTATTCCGCAGGGACCTGCGGGCTCCACTCAACCAGCTGGGGGACTGAGCAGCCTCGCAATTCTTCCGTAACAGCAGGAACACCGAGCAATCAATATTTGGGGGGGGGGACAAAAAAATCTGCACCGGGTGCCACCTGACCTTGCTACGGCTCTGCCGGGGAAAGGTCTCCCTTGGGAGGTGGTGGACTCTCCTTCCTTGGAGGTTTCTAAGCAGAGATCGGAGGGCCATCTGCCATGGATGCTTTCGCTGAGATTCCTGCATTGCGGGGGGTTGGACTGGATGACCCTGGGACCCCATTCTAGCCTCCCATTTCTGAATTCTAGGATGAGTTTCATTACTTCCTGCAAAGCCCCTTTCCCTGCAAACTGTCCCTCCGGTTTCTGGCCAAGGGAAGGAGATGCTCAGAGCCCAACCGATAGCCTCACCCCCAAAGGGATATCTGGGCATTGAGGTAGCCAGGGGGGCAGCTGCCCCCCTAAATCCATAGGAAAATAATAATCTGAGGTCTTGCCAAGCAAGAGAGGGCTCAGCTGGGGGACTCGGCTTGGCAAGGGTTAAAGGGATCTGAGCTGCCTTCCTAGAGAGGACAGGAAGCAAGGGGGGCAGGTCCTCCAGAGCCAAGGCCCCTCCCTCCCCAGTCCTTTCCTGCTTTGGGGTCTCTCCTGCAAGGGCTGCCTCCCTCTCCCCTCCTGGGATCTGGTGAGTCTCCTCTCTCTCTGGGATCTGGTGGGGGGTCCCAGGGCTGCAGCAGGGGAGGGGGCCTGGGGGGCCTGATCAGGGAGGAGAGGGTCCTGCCAGGGAGGGGCCATGTCTGCAATGCTCTCCTTCCTGCAGAGCAGAGGATCCCAAACTCATTTGGCCTTTCGCCCCCCCCCCTTCAGAAAAACAATGACTCCCACGAAATCTCCCTTCTTTAAACAAAGGAGTCCCTGGGACTTTAACATGGTGTGACGTCGCTCAGCATCACTGCAGAACAGAGGGAACATCTGCAAATGGTTTTCCAAAGCTGGACAAGGAGGTGGACTAGACACCCCCAAAGAAAACCCCACAGGGAAGGAGGAAGAAAACGTGGGAGAGAAAGGCCAGGAATAAAGAGGGATCCCAGCCCATAGTCTGGCTGCTGCATTGGGGACCAGTTTCCCAGTGTCTCCCAGGGCAGCTCCACACGGAGGCCAGGGCAGCAATCCCCTCGCACCCAGAGCAGGGCATCCCAGGACCACATCCTCTCTGTCCCAAAGGGATTGTTGCTGGCAAAGCAGCCGGAAATGGGCGCTGCTACTCCCTGAGCCTCCAGGGACCTGGGCATCAAGGACTGTGTGTGTGTTAAGCCATCTAAGAGAATAATAATAATAAATTAGCTGCCTAAATTTCAAGGGAGATGTCTTTGGCCCCACCCACTTGGCCCTCAGGGGGTTGACTAGATACATTCCTGGCCCTCAGAGCAAAGAAAAAGGGACCCCACCCCAGGGGTCTGTCTTGAGAGCGGCGGAGAGTCCAAGTGCAAGAAAAGGAGACAAAAGCAGGGGAGAAATGTGCCCAGAAGTGGGGGTGGGGGGAGAGCAACTCCTGAGGACCCCCAGATGAGGACCCCCACTAGAGTCAAGCATCCATTTTTCAAATGACTCCCTTGTCAGTCAGTTCTGACTTCATGCATTGACTGGAAGGCAGGAGCAGCCAGGCTGATTCATCTCCCAGAAATCCCTTCAGTTGCCTCCACATTCTGCATTGCTAGAGGGCTGGAGACTTACTTCTTCTCCCCTTCCTCCTTCTCTTTCTTTTCAAAAAGGTATCTCATGGTTCAGGCTCTGGTGCCATCCAGTCCTGATTCCTGGCAAGACTCATCCATGCTTGTTCAGGGATCTGTTTCTTCTCCTGACCTACAAATTCTGTAACAGAACAATGTATTTGCTTTCTAGGATTTGCTGGAGGTTCTCATTAAGACGGCCAGAACTTGGCAGAAGACCAAAGGGTTCCTTCCGATCTCTGAGAGCCTTCCTGAGAGCACAGATGGATGAGCAAGACCCAGCTGGCCCTGAAGCAGGAAGAGGCCATGCCAACCAAACTGGGAGCAGTGGGGGGTTCTGGGAAAACTCTGGGCAGAAGATCCTGGGTGAGGAGGGCACCCTCCGCTCAGAGATGCAGAGCCAGCAGGTGAGGCAGTTCTGCTGCCAGGAGGACAAAGGACCCCGAGAGGTTTGCAGCCGACTCTACCACCTTGACCATCAGTGGCTGAAGCCAGAAAGGCACACGAAAGCTGAGATGCTGGACCTGGTGATCTTGGAGCAGTTCCTGGCTGTCCTTCCACCGGAGATGGAGAGCTGGGTGAGGGAATGCGGAGCGGAGACCAGTTCCCAGGCGGTGGCCCTGGTCGAAGGTTTCCTCCTGAGTCAGGCAGAGGAGAGAAAGCAGGTGAGGGAGACTTTCCTCTGGATACTACCTTGGCCAGAGCCAGGGCCTTTTCGGATGTGGGATTTGACATGCGCCAGGCCTTTGTTCAGGGTGCAGTCTGATTCTTTTCTTTCAGTACAAGAATAAGCACTAAAGAGGCTTCCTAGCCCCCTCACACCTCCTTTATAAGACCAGTGGTAACAGTAGTTGGCCATAGCGAATATTAAAGGTAAAGGTAAAGGTACCCCTGCCCGTACGGGCCAGTCTTGCCAGACTCTAGGGTTGTGCGCCCATCTCACTCTATAGGCTGGGAGCCAGCGCTGTCCGCAGACACTTCCGGGTCACGTTGCCAGCATGACAAGCTGCATCTGGCGAGCCAGCGCAGCACACGGAAACGCCGTTTACCTTCCTGCCAGTAAGCGGTCCCTATTTATCTACTTGCACCCGAAGGTGCTTTTGAACTGCTAGGTTGGCAGGCGCTGGGACCGAATGACGGGAGCGCACCCCACCGCGGGGATTCGAACCGCCGACCATGCGATCGGCAAGTCCTAGGCGCTGAGGTTTTAACCACTCTCAATTTTACTTGACTTGATCATGGATGGAGGATTTGACCTGGCATGTGTAGCAGAGACTTGGTTGGATGAAGCAGATGGGCCTGTCCTTGCCGCTGCTTGTCCACCAGGTTTCTCTTACGCACAGCAACCCAGGTTATGTGGGCGGGGAGCGGGGGTTGCAGTGATTTTTAGGAAGTCATTAGTTTGCACCAGGCGTCCTATTTGGAAAACCCAGTTTTCCGAGTGCATGTTCTGGAAGTTGGGCAATAGAGTACAGGATTCCTTTTGGTGTACTGACTTCCCCACTGCACCAAGGATTCCCTGCCCGAGCTGCTTCAGGTCGTGACAGATGTTCTCCTGGAGATACCTAGTTTGGTTGTCCTAGGGGATTTTAATATTCATGCTGACACGACCTTACAAGGGGCCGCTCGGGACTCCATGGAAAACATGGCCCCCATGGGGCTGTCCCTGAATAAGTCTGGCCCAACCCATAGCCACGGACATGCCTTGGACCTAGTGTTTACCTCTATGGATATTGGTGATCTGACACTAAGTAAAAGCGAAACGAAAGAAGTGCCATGGTCAGATCACTTCCTGGTGCAACTTGACTTCTCTGCGACCCTTCCCCTCTGCAGGGAGGTGGGACCGATTCAGATGGTCCGCCCCCGCCACTTAATGGATCCAAATGGTTTCCAGAGAGTGGTAGGGGATGCTTTATCCCATGTTGATGGCCTCTCAGCCGATTTCCTGGTGGCCCGCTGGAATGTGGAGTTAACCAGGGCTATTGACTGTCTGGCTCCGAAGCGCCCTCTCCGATTGCATGGAGCCCGGACAGCCCTGTGGTTTTCCACGGAGCTGAGGGCAATGAAACAATCGTTGAGACGGCTAGAGCACCGGTGGCGGATGACCCATTCCGAATCTGACCGGACACAGGTTAGAGCTCAATGTCGAGCCTACCAAGTGGCGGTAGCAACGGCGAAGAAGACTTTCTTCACCGCCTCTATTGCATCTGCAGAAAACAGCAGCAGGAGACTTTTTCAGGTGGTCCGCAATTTAGCGGAACCACCTGCTAAATTGGGGCCCAGTACGGGCCACATGATCTCCTGCAATGATTTTGCAAAGTTTTTTGCAGATAAAGTCGCTCAGATTTGGGAAGATTAGAAGGGAACAATTGGTTAAAGGTATACAAGTCGGAGCCAAACAGTACAAATTGAAAGCATTTGCTGATGATCTAGTACAGTGGTGCCCCGCAAGACGAATGCCTCGCAAGACGAAAAACCCGCAAGACGAAAGGGTTTTCCATTGCGGAGGCGCTTCGCAAGACGAATTTCCCTATGGGTTTGCTTCGCAAGACGAAAACGTCTTGCGAGTCTTGCCATTTCCCCCCCGCTCCCCCCCCCTTTTTCAAAGCCGCTAAGTCGTTAATAGCCTTTTAACAGCTTAGCTGCTAATGGGGTTGCTTCACAAGACGAAAAAACCGCTAGACGAAGAGAATCGCAGAACGGATTCTTTTCGTCTTGCGAGGCACCACTGTATTGACATTACAGGAGCCAGAATCTAGTACTAAAAGAGTATTGGATCTGATTCAATAATTTGGTCAGGTTGCGGGATTTAAGTTGAACAAGTTAAAAACCAAGGTTCTAGAGAAAAATCTAACAGTGATTGAGAGAGAGAGGTTTCATTTTTTAAAAAAAGATATTTATTCAAATTTTACAAAAAAGAAAACATAAGTTTACAAAATAGAGAAAATTATAACAACAATTAACAAACTAAAATTATAACAACAATTAAAAAACTAAAAAAACTAAAAACACACACACATAGAAAAAAGAATAAAAAGGGTACAAAATACAAAAAACATGCAGCTGAAAAAGAAATTTTAAAAGAAAAAATATCAATTTTTCAATATCTTTGGACTCATTTACTTGTTTCCTTGACCTCTTCTCACCTCCCATTTTTGTATTCCCATTCACAAAGACATTTCAGCAAATCCTTACCCTCTTTCAACCATCTTTACTCTTGTGTCTTCCAATACTTTGCAATAAGTATTCTTGCTGCTGTTGTTGCATACATAAAGAAAGTTCTATCCTTCTTTGGCACCAATTGGCCGACCATGCCTAGGAGAAAGTCCTCTGGTTTCTTCAGGAAGGTATATTTAAATACCTTTTTCATTTCATTATAGATCATCTCCCAGAAAGACTTAATCTTTGGGCACGTCCACCAAAGGTGAAAGAATGTACCTTCAGTTTCTTTACATTTCCAACATTTATTATCGGGCAAATTTTTGCAAGCTTGACTGGTGTCATGTACCACCTGTAAATCATTTTCATAATATTCTCTCTTAAGGCATTGCATGCCGTAAATTTCATACCTGTGGTCCACAACTGTTCCCAGTCAGCAAACATAATGTTATGTCCAAAGTCCTGTGCCCATTTAATCATAGCAGATTTAACTGTTTCATCCTGAGTGTTCCATTTTAACAGCAAGTTATACATTCTTGAAAGTATCTTAGTTTTGGGATCTAACAGTTCTATTTCTAATTTTGATTTTTCCACCTGGAAGCCAATTTTTTTATCCAAATTATAAACCTCTCTTATTTGATAATAGTGAAGCCAGTCTCACACTTTGTCTTTTAATTTCTCAAAACTCTGCAGTTTCAATATGTCTCCTTCTTGCTCCAAAATTTCCCAATATTTCGGCCATTTGGCCTCCATATTGAGTTTTTTCTGAGCCTTTGCTTCCATCGGTGACAACCACCTTAGGGTTTTGTTCTCAAGTAAGTCTTTATACCTTATCCAGACACTAAACAATGCTTTCCTGACAATATGGTTTTTAAATGCTTTATGTGCTTTGACCTTATCTATCATGGGAATTGGGGTTGCTTGTGTGTAATCTCCACCTGTTTCAAGCAGCGTGGGGCAATTGGTTTTCCCCGGCTGAGCAGCCCCCCTTGGGCACGACTGCTTCAGTCGCTGGCAGAATCCGTCAGTGGGCGTTTCCTGAACTTCTTCCAACATAAGAACTCCTTCACAGACAACCTTCGTCTTGCCTCTCTGCGCGGCAGCCTTCTGCGCAGAGTGGGCGTGCCTATCGGTGGTCCTCCACTCTCCTCACTGACCTCACTTGAAGAGTCTCGGAGCCTCCCCTCCGAAGTGCTCTCCAGTCTCTCCTTTCTTCCTGGTGTCACCTTGGCTTCCTTCCCCCGCGGAAGCCCTCTCCCCTCCTGTACTGGTTCCCTCTCCGGCATCATTGGGGAGCCTAGCCTCTCCATTTTGCTCCGATGTCAGTTCCCTGACATTATCATACCACAAATATGCATGCCACCCAAAAACATTATTAAAACCTTCTAAATCCAAAATGTCTGTGTTCTCAAGAAGCAGCCACTCTTTTAACCAGCAGAATGCCGCTGATTCATAATAAAGTTTAAGGTCTGGCAGGGCAAATCCGCCTCTTTCCTTTGCGTCAGTTAATATCTTAAATTTTATTCTGGGCTTCTTGCCCTGCCAGAGAAATCTAGAAATATCTCTCTGCCACTTCTTGAAACAGTCCATTTTGTCCAAGACTTGTAGTGATTGAAACAAAAATAACATTCTTGGCAATACATTCATCTTTATAGCCGCAATTCGACCCAACAAGGAAAGCTTCAAATTTGACCATATTTCTAGGTCCTTTTTCACTTCTGACCAGCATTTTTCATAGTTGTCCTTAAATAAATTCCCATTTTTAGCTGTCTGTTAATCCCCAGGTATTTCACTTTCTTAACCAATGTTAAACCTGTCTCATTCTGAAACCTCTCTTTCTCAATGGGTGTTAAATTTTTCTCAAGAACTTTAGTTTTTGATTTGTTCAACTTAAACCCTGCCACATGACCAAATTCTTCAATCATTTCTAGCACTCTTTTGGTACTAGATTCTGGCTCCTGTAATGTCAGTACTAAAACATCTGCAAAAGCTTTCAATTTATATTGTTTAGCTCTGACCTTTATACCTTGAATCAAACAGTCCCTTCTAATCATATTTAGCTGAACCTCCAGGGCCGAAATAAAAAGTAATGGGGAAATTGGGCAGCCTTGTCGTGTCCCTTTCTCTATCTTAAATTCCTCTGTCACCACGTTGTTAACTATTAGTTTGGCCTTTTGTTCCGAATAAATTGCACTTATACCATTTTCAAACCCTTGACCAACCCCCATCCCCTGAAGATTTTTCTTCATGAAGCTCCAAGAAATCATGTCAAAGGCTTTCTCCGCATCCACAAAAATTAAAACTGCTTTAGTGTTAATGTCCACTTGCAACTTCTCCAAGATGTTAATTATATTCCTCGTATTATCAGACAAATGTCTGCCTGGGAGAAAGCCAGCTTGGTCCTTGTGAATCTCTTCCACTAATACTTTTTTTAGTCTTTTGGCCAAAATATCAGCAAAAATTTTGTAATCCACATTAAGTAGGGATATGGGTTCTTAAGTTGTGT